CCACCAGAGATTCCTCGCAGCAACGGACCGCCGATGATGCTGTTGCGGCAGACAGTGAGGCCAGCTCGGCTATGACGGCCTCGGCCTGCGCGGTCTTTCTTGGCGGGTGAGGGTGTTAGGGGAGGCGGAGGAGGGCGGTGTAGACGAGGGTCTCGGTGACAGTGAGGTGGGGGTAGAGTACGTCGTCCTGGGTGACGAAGCCAATGCTGCGCTTCATCGAGTTGGAGAAGGGGCGGCCGTTGTAGGTGATGGAGCCGGTGAGGTGGCTGCTGAGGCGGCCGCCGAGGGCGGTGAGAAGGGTGGTCTTTCCGCTGCCGGAGGGGCCCATCATGGCGAGCATTTCACCGGGGAGGACGAGGCCGGAGATGCCTTTGAGGATTTTGCGCTCGGTCGGTGTGCCTTTGGTTTTGGAGTTGGATTTGGTTTTGGTCTTGATCTTGTACACGACATCTTCGAACTGCAAAAATTCATTCAATCTACAAGTTAGCAAACATAATGCATTCCTCTCTCTCTCTCCTGTGGACTGCTAACGTTCCAAATAAAGAGTTTGAATAAGCAAATAATTTTTCTATCCGTATAATTTTATAAACATCATAAAAATCATAGGCCACTAAAAGCTAAAATAGTTCATTATAAAAATCACATGTCAACTGATCGATACTAATGTAACTTAATCATTAAAATTTAGTGACAAAAGTTTATGATTTTTTTTTCTAATAAAATTATTTGTGATATTTCTATGCGAACTCTAATAATTTATGGTAGTAGTTAAATTTATCTTTTATTAATTTCCTAAGTAATTTTCTAGCATTTGAAAAAAATTAGATGCTATAGTAAAAAAGGAATGACAAAAAAACCAAAGTAATTACTAAGGACCATACTAGGGTTAGTTGGTTAAGAGAGTATCTAGTGGGAACAGTACACAACACAATGTGCCTCAAATGGATGTCAACTATCAAGCACGAATCTCAATATCCAATAATTTAGCTGTTGACATCTATTTGGTGCACATTTAATATCATGCATATTTGACCATTTGGTACTATCTCTAGCTAGAGAAACAAACCTTAAAATATAGTAATATGTCCTATAATAGTAAAAAAGTTGTCATTAGCTATAAATTAGTAAAATTCTATAGATAGTTATTTATGTAACTTTGCATCTTCCTTATTATTACTTATTCTCTTTCTTCTTACTCAAATTTTCTTCTCTAAATTAGTTCATCGCACATATAGAAAGTAGTTATAAATTGCATATCAAAATAATTTGTAAATAGTACAAATAAATTGAGGGCTAGAATAAATATATATAATGGCAGGATCAAAAATCTGATGGTTTTAAATATTCTATTAAAGAGGAGGCTAAAATTAGTTTATGAATTACGATGAAGTACACGAGTTTATGAAAGATTTCGTTTGTTTGAAAGATTCTCAAATCTCATATATGTGATTTAGAAGTTGAAGAGCTTAACGAAGCATCAGTGGTTGTTTTTTTTTTCAATGAAAAAAGCTTTATTCATTTAAATTTTAAAGAAAAAGAAAGTACTACGATTAACTTTAGTAACACTAACAAAGCTTAAAATTGATCAAACACTTAGTAATAATATCTCAAAATAAATTAAACTATAATAACAATCATTTCTTTCTTTCTTTTTTATTTGACGCAAAAATAGGGCTAATCGTCCTATTCAAAAGAAGATTATGTATATATACAAGTAAGAGGAGTTTCTCTACAAAGCCATGAGTTTGGAAGATAGCTCACTCACGCCTAGGTCAAGGAGCGGTCCTTAGACGTTAATTGAATCTAGGGACGAGAGTGAAACGATCGTCCAAAATCAGACTGCTAAACAAAAAATAGTTACAAAATTTGGGAGCGGCTCAAACTATAATAACAATCATATCTTGGGCGAATTGATACCGATAATATTTGATAAGATCAAATTTTCTATTATACATGCACTCATCTTCAATAAAGAGTTCTAATTTACTTCAAATTAAGATGATCACGAATACACTTTTAGTAAAGGATCTATCTCTTTTTGAATAAATTACAACAAATTGGAGAAATCTACACCCTTTATAGGGGGGAGACTGAAGAGTTCACGGGACACGTCAATCCATGTTGAAGAGTTTTACAATGACAATCAATTGCTCCTTTTAACATCACAAAATTCAAGCTAGAAACCTTTCACCTTCTTGAAATATCAATTAGTTTAAAACATAGAACGAAGAAAATATTAGCACGAAGATCTAGCGAGGAGAAAAAAGGAAAGAATTCTTGTACCTTGAGCGTCATCGGATTCTTAGATGTCGCAAAGAGAGAACGATTTTGGACTTCAACATCATCTACATGAGATACAAGCTCCATCTTCAATGACAAAATTCTATGTAGCCGACCCTAAAAAAGAAAAAAAGAAAAATCAGTAAAGAGATAAAAACTTCTATTAAACCAAAAATCTTTATTTTTGGCCTCTTTCAAGTTTCTTATTTTTACCTCTTGTCAAATTCTTGAAACGGAGAGAGTAGAGAGGAATATATAAGGGTCACCAAATCTTGCACGAGAGTTGCTCAATTAATGATACACGCGTTAAGAGAGTCCCAGTTGATTTGCTACATGTCCATCCCTTGAACCAAAGGGGACATGCATCTAATAATGGTAAGATGTTCCTTAAGCGCACAATTTATCCTTTAATGATCCGTTTAATTTAGACACGAGCTATCTAAAACCCTTCACGCTTAAAATAGGAAGGGAGATATCTGAAAGAAATCAACACTGAAGATTTGTGAGAACATAAAAGGAGTGCTTGATTTTATAATCAGAACCCTGTTGACTCAAGAGAAATTTATATCCTTTCTCTAACCCTAGGAAATTTATAGATAACGCTTATAATAGGTTGTGTCTAATCTCTGCCGTTGATTTACTACCCCAAATTCTTATATACTTTGAGCTCTTCGAATTCTTCCCTTCGGGGGTGGGGGGTAGTCAATTGAGACATTTTCATGCAAAATAGGATAATTATTAAAGTGGAATAATTTTTTGCTAGTGGAATATTATAGTGGGATAAATAGGAATAATTTTGTAAAGCGGGATATTTTGATAAAATAACGTGGGATAAATTTTTATAATCATGGAATATATATTTATGCATTTTGAAGATATAAATACTAATTATGTATTTTAAACATACTATTATTGATTGATAATTGCTTACAAGAATGTTTTTTATTATTAAATAACTTTTGGTTAGACTATAAGATATTGACATTTATTATTATAATGATGGTCTAATGATGGTGATAATCATAATAGGAAATAAGTAAAGAAAAAATATATAAAAAATAACAAAATAAATATAAGTTCTAGTTTTTTACCACCTAGTTCCAAGCTAAAACTTAGAATAATTTGAAAGACTAGAACTCTCATTTTTGTATAGAAAGTGAAAAAAATGGGATAATTTTGTACCATTATCCCAATTCTAGTTTTGTTAGAGTTCTACTTGACTAACACTGTAAAATTTTATTCTACTTTTAGTTTTATGTGACTAACATCTTAAAAATTTATCTCTAATATTATCTCAGTTTCAATTTTAAGTTCTAGGTGACTAACCCCCCTTCATATGGTGGGATTTATATCGTTTCTCATAAAAGATAATATTATTGAGGAGTCTTATATTTTATTAATCTCAGCCGTCATGGATTAGCTCAGCACACATATCCAAATCCCCCAATTTTGGGCTAGCCTTAGAGTTTTAGCTCTTGGGATCCCAATATTGGGCTGACCAAAGAGCAGGGCTGTCCAAATGAGCTTTGGTCTGAGTTTGGCTTGGTGTTCGGCATGAAAGCGACCAGGCCCAAACCCGGCCTGGTCCCAGGTAAGTCTCAGAAAATCTAGACTGGGCGTGGTGTGAGCTAAGTTCTAGAAGCCCGACCCGAACCCGACCTGATTTTTAATTATATATATATTGTATTTTTTATATATAATTATAGTATGACATGATCATTAATGTATACTTATATATACTTACATATATATTTTTAATGTATACTATATATAATTATAGTATGATATGGTTATTAATGTATACTTATATATACTTACATATAATATATAGCTATATACTAATAAGTAAGTATATACTAATACATACTTATATAAATATAAAAAGATTAATTTAATTTTTAACAAAAAAATCAAAAAATATAAAAAATCCGAGCCAGTCCGAAGCCTGGCCTGGTTTGGCAAGGACCTAGACCCGAGCCTAGCCCAGACAACTGTGTCTGAGCCAGGCATTTTTTCTAGCCTGAACCCGAAAATCTAGGCCAAGCCTGGCCGGGCTAGCCCGTTTGATCAGCTCAGTTGTCCGGGCTAGGCATTTTGCCTAGCCTGAATCCGAAAATCTAGGTCGGGCCTGGCCAGCCTGGCCCGTTTGAACAGCTAGAGCATTAGTATTTGTTGGGAATTCTAATTTGGCACGCAAGAATCAAGTTGGAATGAATAGCTTTTTGGCCAAGATCACAACATCATTATATAGAATTTAAAGGTTTTATTTATAACTAAATTAATTATCCTATGCTATATCTTTTTTGCTTTGGGAGGAGTTTTATTGAAAACATGTTGTTTATATACGTCTATTTTTAGGCAGCATAAAATATTATTTAAATTATAAATTCTAATTAAGATTAGTTTACACTTTTTGATGTAAATAAAGCGACAAAATCTATTTTCCATCCAAAAATATAAAATTTGGTAGAATTTAATAAAAATTATATAAGCTTCTTTGGTTGGTGCAGCCCAATCGGGCCTGCCAAATGACAAGCCCAGCTCTCTCCCCTGTTTACTTAACCTCTTTCTCCTAGTAGGTGAAGTAATCGGCCCAAAGAATAGAAACCGCGAAAAATTTTAAAGATGGCTTCCCTTGTAGGTTTATTATTGTGCTAAGAGTATAAACTTACGCCTCGTTTGGTACGCGGGAATGGACAGACTTGGGAATGGAATGGAAGAAGGAATGGAATGGATTGCATGTGGGAATGGAATGGTCATTCTCATTCTCTTGTTTGGGTGCGTTCGTAGAATGAAGCTAGAATGGAAATCTCATTCCCATTCCCATGTTTGGTATCACTAGTACACAAGTGAGAATGAAATCTCATTTTCTAATAATGCCATTACAACAACATAGATTTTTAATAAGATAAAAAATAAACATTAATGATAATAACTAAATAATTTTATATACGCATATGTTATATTAATCTAGGTATGTGTTATACTAATGCTCGTGTTATCCATCAGGTGTATGTTTCGTTTATATTTTTTAAACAATACTCGTTATTTCTTAGTCTTAAAAATTAAAGAAAAAAAAAGATTATCGTATCTTTCATAGGTCCAAAAAAAAAGAATGATATCCACAATCCACAGTTCTAGATATATAAATTAACTTATTTGATAAAGTATCAAAATCACTCAATTCATAATAGCAAAAATCCATAAAACAATACCAACTAAAATAATAAGTTTCGAAATAGCAAAATGATATACTAGACTAAATTGTCAATCTAAAATTGCCCACTTGCATAGCGGCTCACCCAAACATTCTTTATTATTAATATGGATCGATATAATTGAAAAATACCTAACTAGTTTTTGATTCTCACTTGAATGGGAATGACCATTCCTTATCTTCTCACTTGGAATGTTCATTCCCACAAATAGTGGGAATGATCATTCCTAGGGAATGGTCATTCCAACATCTAAAATATAGGTGTGTTTGGTATGAGGGAATGGAAAGTGGGAATTGCATTCCATTCCTCCTCATTCCCGCGTACCAAACGAGGCGTTATAGTTCTCGATCTCGGGCATAACTTTGAAGTTATGGTGCAGAGTCATTTATGACGCAGTCATCTGATATGATACTGGAACCATCTAGATTTAAATCCTATTAAGCACAAATTTAAGAAAGATGTTCTAAGAAAACGTAATATTGTTTCTCGAGTCCATATTTTCCGTCTATGAAAGAAAGGTAAATATGTAGAAAATATAAAATTATAACTCTTAATCATTTCAACATCTTCAAAGTTATAGTACATAATTGAGAGTTCTTTTAAAGATAGTGTTTCTTGGATTTTATCTATAGAAGTTGTTGTTATATATGTTATTTAATTGGGTATATTTCACAAATCATCCAAAAAAGCTTTGTTAGAATAAGTGCATAATAAAACGGAAATAGTTGCGAATAAAAAGTATGAGAATAAAAAGCAAGCAATTGCAAACACATAGATTTATGTGGTTCGATCACCCAATTGGCTACGATCATGACAAAAGCATTGGAGAAATTCCACTATCAAAAGAAATGGAAGTACAAGAACAAGCCAATAGCCTACCCTCAAACTCTAATTATCAGACTCTCCTATTCTCATAATCCAACCCTAATCTAAACTCTCTCTATTTTAATATATAGGAGACCAAAATAAATCTAGAAAGACGTATACAAAACTTGATAGAAGTTGGAGATCAAAAGAAAAAAACGAACAGCTGAAATTAAATCATCAAAATTGCAATAAGTGTCATAACCATTGATGGTCAAATACGATCATTGATGATCTCCTGCAGTCCATCGATGGTTTCCTGTAGTCTATCGATAGTTCAAAATCTTATTTTTATTTTTTATGATTGTTCACTATAAACCATTGATGGTGTTCTCTTGACCATCGATGATCCATTGGCTGAATTGAACAATCAGAGGGTTTTGAGGCATAATTTCAACAAGCTTTAAGATGTTCTTTGTTACATGAAAGTCTCCCGGACTTTATTTATGCTACTATAAATGTACATAGTAAATTTTTCCCACGAAACTTCCAAAGTGTTGTGGTAAGATTTGAGAGTTATAATTTCATATTCTAATACGTTTCGTTACATATTAAGGGGCCTTTTAGCACAGAAGATTATAGGGTCACGCAGTGTATCATTTTTATAAACTCTAATTGTAAGCTCTGATATCATGTCAAATAACCTGCCACTACACCAAAATTCAGAAGTTACGATAATGATTTAGGTTTATAACTTTGTATTCTTAATTTTCTATAAGAATGGTTAGATTTTATTCAGTACCAGGTACGCATTGAAGTACATACTCCTTCAAATACAATAAAAAAAATCCATCGATAGAAATATCCTCCTATCAAACAAAAAACAACAAAAGATCTAAGCAATTTCTAGACCAGCCCTCTTTAACAAAACCTCCAAACAGGAGCAAAAAAACCCGTTCGCTGTAGTATCAATATCAATCGTACGCATGTATTTTTCATGACAACAATTCTACTAAACTGGATTTTAGGAGGAAAAAAAAAACTGTATATGCACCAGTAAAGTTTCCACATCACGTTTCATGCATG